GGCCGCGGCGCCGCGGTCTGCGCCTACGTGCGCATGGTCTTCCTGGCGCTCTACGTGCTGTTCCTCGGCGACGAGGAATTCGACGTGGTCGTGTGCGACCAGGTGAGGTGACCGCGCCGCGCTCCCTGCTGCACTGTGGCGCGCAGTGCGTGACCGCCGAGGACCTCTCCCGGGCTGCGGGTCGAAAAGGTTGGAACTGATCTGGAGAGCTCGGAGCTCGGAGTGACTGTGGTTCTCGATCTTTAGTGTGGACACATTTAAGTTGCACATTACAGTGCCCCACCCCGAGGAGCTTCATCCAGAAGCCCTGAGGTGGGGCCCCGAAACCTGCATTTTTCACTGTCACGTCTCGCGATTCTGCAGCAGATGGGCCTTGGGTCTCTCTCTAAGAAACACTAACGTTAGAAGTCAGCATTCAGTCACCTTTTACTTCTGAGTAACTCGTATGCCTTCCCTCTTTGCATTATTCCTGTTGACACTTTCTAGGCCATGTGCATCACACTGTAGCCTTTGCAGCCAGGTTACCCTACTCCTCAGCAGTGTCCTGTGTTAAAACACCAAGCTAAACATGCCATGTCCCCATAAAACTTAAACGTGGCTCTCCATTAGTCTTTGTAGAAAAGTCCAAATTATTTTGCTTGGTAAAGAATGCCCACCTGAGTCTGGGCTCTAATTATTCTAAACTCCTCTGTCCCTCGCCCTCACACACCCCCAAATTTTTATTTTATCAAGTAACATTTACTAGGTCTAAAAAGTCAGATAGTTTAAAAGAGTATAATATGCCTGACCTGCGTGGCTCAGCGATTGAGCATCGACCTAGGATCCAAGAGATGGAGGTTCGATTCCCGGTCAGGGCACATGCCCGGGTTGTGGGTTCGATCCGCATTCGGGGCGTGCAGGAGGCAGCTGATCAATGACTCTCATCATTGATGTTTCTCTCTCCCTCTCCCTTCCTCTCTCTCTAAAATCAATAAATATATATATGTATAATATAAAAGTCACATCCCAGTTCCTCTCCCTAAAGACAGCCACATGTACAATAGAGCATTTTGCTTTGGTGCACATTGGATGTTATCAACCATTTTAATCTTTGCCACACTAATGGGGGAAATGGCATCACATTTGTATTTGTGTTTCTTTAATTATAACTCATGAGTTACTTTTGATCTTCTTTGCTTGTGTGGAAGATATTTTTGAGAAATGTGGACATGTTCCAAACACCCTGCATTTCTAACGAGTTCATAAGCATGAGACAGCATGATATAGAGAAAAAACTGAGCTCAGAAGCAGGAGACCTGAATATAAGTTCCATTTATCTGCTATTTTATGACTTTAAGTAGCTTTGGAAAGCTCACCTTCAGGTATTAAGTGAGCTGGAGATTGAGTGATTTGTAAGATTATCCAACAGGAAAGTTTAGTAATGCCAGCATGTAGTTCATGCTCAGTAATGATTATAGTTAATATTTATTGAGCACATACTACACTAAATTCTTAAGTGTTTTACATATCCCATTGTATTTAATAATCACAAAAAAACATGGGTTTTTTGGTACTATAATTGTCACCATGTTACAGAAGAGGAAACTGAGGCCCAGAGAGAGGTAGAACTTGATCATGGTCACACAACTAGCTAGTAGAACTGAGATTCAGACTCTGGCCATCTTGATTCCAGAGCTTGCATTCTAAACTACTATAGTTCATTCAGTTCCTTAGGAGGAGAAATATACTAGATCTGCTCTGTCCAGTATGGTAGCCATTAGCCACAGATGGCTATTGAGCACTTGAAATGTTGCTAGTCTGAACTGAGATGTTCTGTAAGTGTAAAATACTTGCCTGATTTTAAAGAATAAATGTGAAAAATAGTGTAAAGTATCTCTAACTTTTTTAGCATTGATTACATTTTTCAGTGGTAATATTTTAGGAAAATAAAATATATTAACCCTTTAAAAATTTTAATGTTGTTACTAGATTTTCATTCCCATTGGACAGTGCTATTCTAGAGGAAACACTGGACTTGCAGCTTGAAATATTTAGCACACATCCAGAAAATATCTACCAGCCTTTAATACACCAGGCATTGGACTGGGTGAGAGTCTATAAGAACACAAAGCAGAATGAGACATTGCCCATGAGGAGCCCACAGACTAGTAGGCAGGGTGGGTGTCTGTACTTTTGATTTAGTTGAAGTTTAGTTCACCAGCCACTTTATCTGTTTATTTTTGCTTTGGTTAGGTGTCTGCCTGTATCCCAGTCTTCAAGCTGGCCAGACGGCGTAAGAAGATCTTGTTTTATTGTCACTTCCCAGATCTGCTTCTTACCAAGAGAGATTCTTTTCTTAAACGTCTATATAGGGCCCCAATTGACTGGATAGAAGAATACACCACAGGCATGGCTGACTGCATCTTGGTCAACAGCCAGTTCACAGCTGCCATATTTAAGAAAACGTTTACGTCCCTATCTCATATAGACCCCGATGTCCTCTACCCATCTCTGAATGTCACCAGCTTTGACTCAGCTGTCCCTGAAAAACTTGATGATCTAGTCCCCAAGGGGAAAAAATTCCTGTTCCTCTCCATCAACAGATACGAAAGGAAGAAAAACCTGACTCTGGCACTGGAAGCCCTAGTAAAGCTGCGTGGAAGATTGACATCCCAAGATTGGGACAAGGTTTATCTGATCATGGCTGGTGGTTATGATGAGAGAGTCCTGGAGAACGTGGAACACTATCAGGAACTGAAGAAAATGGCCCAGCAGTTTGACCTTGACCAGTCTGTGACCTTCTTGCGATCTTTCTCGGACAAACAGAAAATCTCACTCCTCCATGGCTGCACGTGTGTGATATACACACCAAGCAATGAACACTTTGGCATTGTCCCTTTGGAGGCCATGTACATGCAGTGCCCAGTCATTGCTGTCAATTCAGGCGGGCCTTTAGAGTCCATTGTCCACAGTGTTACAGGGTTTCTATGTGAGCCTGACCCAGTGCACTTCTCAGAAGCAATAGAAAAGTTCATCCATGAACCTTCCTTAAAAACCACAATGGGACTGGCAGGCAGAGCCAGGGTGAAGGAAAAGTTTTCCTCTGAAGCATTTACAGAACAGCTCTACCAATATGTCACTAAACTGCTGGTATAGTCAGATGTTTTTAAGGTCTTTATGCTATATTCGTTAATGTCATTTTATAGATTGTAGACCCAGTTTTGAAACCATAAAAGAAACCTAGAATCTAGTGTTGAAGAGTTTAAAAAAAAAAAAATACGCTTGAATCTGAGCCACCTTCCTATATACCACACCTTCCCGACTCCTTTTTCAGAAAAACAATATATTTTACGTTAAAATAATTATGAGTCTTACCAGTGTTGATTAAGATATAATTCCATGTGTTAATTCTATTTTCTCTAGACTATTGCTGCTCTGCCTACAAATTTTGAGTCACACTGTGCCATAATTGGTTTTGATAGTTCATCATCAAAGTTGAAGAATTTGGCTTCATAACAGAACAGGGTCACTCTAGTTCCCAGAATCAATGCACCTAAGTGTTCCCTGCCCTCTGTTGGGAAATTTTGGTTAGTCATACCTTTGCCTGGATCCATAGCAAGAATGCTCTGTATGTTTTTTACAAAGACAATTTTATTGTATTTTTGCACACTGAGACAAGCCAGTAAAAGATGTTTATCAGAGGAAAAGACATAAAATATTAAATTTTGGCTTCCATGATCCACATGTAGCTATGACAGCCAAGCCTGAAGTCAGAAACTAAGAGTAAACTGGATGTTGAAGTGAAGAAGGAATGTTGTCGCCCTGGCTGGTTTTGCTCAGTGGTTAGAGCATCAGCCCACGGACTGAAGGGTCTCGGGTTCAATTCTGGCCAAGGGCACATACTTTGGTTGCAGGTTCAGCCCTGGTCAGTCGGGGCACATGCAGGAGGCAGCCAATCAATGTGTCTCTCTCCCATTGATGTTTCTGTCTCCCACTCTCTGAAAAAACAATGGAAAAAATATCCTCAGGTGACGATTAAGAAAAGAAGGAAATGTCACTCATGTAAGGTGCGTATTGCTTAGGGTTTATTTCCTAGTGTCATCTGATTCATCAGCTTTGTTAATATTTGTGTGGTATTAAGTAAGATCCTCCTAAATATAAGGCACAAATGCTTTTTCCCCTTCAAGGCCCCTGCTGTGGAGCTTTCTTTGACCCTCCACCCACTTCCCAAAGTGGGAGTGACTTCCCTTCCCATGCAGTCTACCCTTTTCATGGCATCAACCAGTCAGTTCATTATTTACCTATTGGTCTAAATACAAATAAACATAAAGCACTTTTCCACCAACCTTTAAAGCTAAATTTTTTAAAAATAGCAAAGGTCACTAGCCAAAGGCTGCACATTAATCCACTAAGCACAGACCTGAGAGCCTTGGGCAAATTGCTTAATCTCTGTGCCTCAGCTTCTTCGGCTGTAAAGTGGGGTAACTGTACTATTATGCTTTTCTTATGGGGTGTTTATGATGGATTACAATACCAAAAGGAGTTCTTTAAAAGGAATGTCAGGTATATTGCCTTCTATGGAATGAAAAGTTCTGTTGTTTTTCCTTTGGTATTGGGAAACCTTAGGTCCAGTAAAGTAGGTCATCCCTGTTCTGTGGCGTGGTGCGTGTGTTTCTCAGGGAACCACAACCTCAGAAAAGCCTGGTGACTCTGACTGCTGGGTTTAGGACAGACAGACTCAGCTTTGATTCATAACAGATCATGCTCTGATCCATAACCTGTGCTTACCCATTCCAAGCACTAAAACTTTTGCCTGTTTCACCATTTTTTTTGCAGATCCTCCAAAATGGGCAACATGGGTTCGTGGGCCTTCAGTTTAACTTACCTTCATTGTCTGAAGCCCTAACCGGTGACAATAAGAGCATAGATTTGGGAGAGATGCAGAGCCCTGCCTGCCAGGAGCTTCCAGCCTCTGATGCATTGATCCCTGGGCTTCTGGATCTAGGATGGCACTTTGTCCACAGGAGGTGTTTACAGCTTCCAAAACTAAGCAGAAGTTAGGGGAAATGGAGTATGAGACATGACTTGAATAGTAACTCTAGCACTTACTGCATGCTGGGCATATGAGATGCACAGCAGACAACCCATTGAATCCTAGAAGTTGCATGAGGGTAGGTGGTCATCCCTTTATGGACATAGTTAAGCAACTTGCCTCTGTCACACACAGCCTTGGGTGGGCAGAGTCTCAAGGCTCTCTGACTCCAAAGTCCATCCACTTCACCTTTCTTCAGTGTGCATGGGCTCAGTCTCTTGTGCGGTGTGTCTTTAGTGAAACCCCGTCCGCAGCACTGCAGTTGCATCATTCAGGTCCTTGGGTTTAGAAAGGCTTTGCTATTCATTTTCCCTTTTCATCTTCAGAGCAATCTTGTGAGGTGGATATGATTATCCCCCATTTTACACACAAAGAAGCTCAGAGATGAAAGACTTGCCCAAGAACACGTAACTTAAAAGTGAGTGAGCCAGGATTCAACCCATGGTTACCTCTTCCGTCCAGCACCACACATACCAGAATTTCTCAGCCTGCACACCTTTAATACCATAAATGCCCTTTAATGCTTTATGAAATTAAAAATAAATACAGCCTTGAGTCATATCAAAGTGAGGGGACAAGATGCTCTTCTGTCTTCAAATTAGTCCTCAGATCCTAAAAGATGCTAATGTCCTGCACCCACCCCATTGCTCTATACCAACCCCTATGAGAATCACTATTGAGGCCACACTGCCTGCCCTCCCTGTAGCAGACATTGGGTCTTTCAAAGTCCTAGTAGCGTTATCAAGGTCATTTTCTTACAGGAAGCAGAAATTCAAGCTAGCTTAACGCCAAAGATTTTGAGTTGGGTGTTTGAAAGAATCCAAGCCAGAATATAGAGTCAAACTCCAACACTCTATCCTTGTCAGAAGGACTGGAGTTTGGGTGGGGCTCACAGTAAGGGTGACTGACCACTTGGCCTTGTTACCCAGCAATATGACCACAAGCAAATGCTGAAATATCTTGCAGGAAGCATTATCACTAGTCCAATCACAGATGACATTTGAGACAAATATAGTCTAAAAGATCTGCTCAGGGTGTGTGTGTATGTGTGTGTGTGTATGTTGAGGTTTTACAGGGGGCACCAATGTAGCATAGATGTGACATTTCTGTGGCCGATCACTCTCCAAAGAAGTTAGGCAGAATTAGAACAGATTGGCCTTTTGTTTTCTGTGTTACTGGACCTAGAATTCCAACTTTTGAGAAGGTGTCCTGATGGTGATAATCTTTAAGTTTCCTTATCTGTTAAATGGGTATAATCAGGTCTAGCCCACCTCACAGGGTGTTTGTGAGGAATGGACAAATAAAAGAGTGCATGAGAGGCACTGAGTCAGTATATGAATGACTGAGACAAAGGATGTGAAGCTGATTTGTAAACTCAGAGTATCGTGAACTTGTGAGGGACAAAGGCAGCCTTTCACAGGCCAGGATGAATTGCCCTGGTTTTTTGCCACCCCAGTGAGTATAGCAGTGCAAATCTAAGCCAGGGAAAGTCACACCGTGCAGAAATGGGGTACAAACAACCCCAACAAGGACTATTTCCCTCTCAGTGCTTAACACAGTATCAGGAGGTTTCCCATCTCTCAAGGCAGTGAGACTGAAGTAAGGATAAACCAATAGACCAACCCAACAGAATAGAGGCCTAAAATAGATCCACACATATGTAGTCAACTGATTACTGCCAAAGGTACTGAGATAACTCAATGGGGAAGACAGAATGTTTTCAAGAAACGACCTGGAACACTTGGATATCTGTATGGAAAATAATGAACCTTTAACCTCAACTACATACAAAAATGAACATGAAGTGGATCATAAGCCTAAACATAAAAGCTAGACTGCAGAACTTAGAGAAGAAAACAGAAAATCTCCAGAAACTTGGGGTAGGCAAAGATTTCTTGGTACCCAAAAAGCACAAAGCATAAAGGGAGGAAAAACCTGATAGGATGAAATTTATAAAAATTAAAAACTGCTCTTCAAAGGACACTGCTGTTGTTTTTTAATGAAAACACAAGCCACAGACTTGGAGAAAATATTCATTATCAGTATATGTGATAAAGACCTGCATCCAAGATATGTAAAGAATTCTTACAATTCCAAAGTAAGAGGACAAACAACCCAAATTTTTTGCTGGGCAAAATATAGGATATCCCCCAAAAATGTATACACACACTGAATAATTATAAAGGCAGTGTATATTAAAATACATTTCAATTTCAAAATTGAGCTATCAGCTGTTAAGGTGTGTATACAGTTTTTGGGGACACCCTGTACATGAATGGCCACTTCACAGAAGATATCTGAATGGCCAATTAACATGTTAAGATGCTCAACGTCGGTGGTGATCAAGGAAATGCAAATTAAACCTACAATGAGATACCAATACGCACCCATAAAGTGAATGACTCAGTAAAAATGTCGGTGAGCATGTGGAGCGGTTGGAACCCTCATACGTTCCCAAACGGAAAGCAGTTTGCTCCTTGTAAGGTTAAACGCAACACCTACCCTACAACCCAGCAAGTCTNGAAACGGAAAGCAGTTTGACTGCTCCTTGTAAGGTTAAACGCAACACCTACCCTACAACCCAGCAAGTCTACTTCTAGGTGTTTTGCTTAAAATAAGGAAAACCTATCTAAACAAAGACTTTTATTCACATATTCATAGCAGCTTTACTCATTAATAGTCAAAAATTAAAACACCCCAAGCATCCATCAATGCGCAAATGATAAACACAGTATGGTGTGTTCATACAATGGAACACCCCGCAACGAAAAGGAATGAACTACTCACAAGCACAATGACATGGATGACTCTCGAAAACACGCTGAGCGACAGAAATCAGACACAAAGGAGTTCATATTGTGTGGTCCCATTAATATGAAACTTTAGAGAAAAAATACCTAATCTATAGTGACAGAAAGCAGATCATTGTTTGCCAGGCCCAGGGTGAGAGCGAGGTTGACTAGGGAAGAACACAAAGGAATTTTTTTGGATTATGGAAATGTTTTGTATCTTTATCATGGTGGTGGTTATAATGGTGTAAAATTTGTCAGAACTAATAAAATGTATGTTTTAAATGAGTGTGCATTATTGTATGTAAATTATACCTCATAAAGTTAAGGTGTTTTTTTTTTAAAAAAAAAAAAAAAAGCACATGTGCTCTAGTTCCATTTTTATAGGAAATAAAAGGTTTTCTAAATGAGTGTCAATGTATATATGACTATATAATTATAAAAGTTTGTGAGAATATATACCCAGGTGGTAACATTGATT